ATTTGCACTCACGGAGGGTGATCAGGTGCCTCCCCGTGAGGACAGGCCAGAGTACAACAGTTCAGTGAAACACTGTGGGCTGCACAAGCAGAAGCAGAGTCACTGGTTGATGGGTGGGTCTCCCGGGCTCACGCCTTGGAAGAGGTGATTTGCTCAGATGTGCCAGTATGGCATGTGCCCCTAAGCAGGAGACTGTGCACAGAGACCCCGGCGTGTCCCCCTCCTAGACGAGCACACTGGCACGGTCCTTCCAGGGAATTGCTGTTGTGATGCCTGCTGAAACGTCTCCACTTCCCTCCAAAGGACAGAAAACTCTGTTTTGTTCACTTCTCTACTCTGTTGCTGCACGTTTTCCTGGCTTAGCCTAATTCCTGTGTCATATTTACTCTTGCTGGTGTGATCACTGGTTTACAAGACAGATCAAATCCCTACGTGGGGTGTCAGCCCTCCCCTGGCTCCCTCCTGGCATTCCAGGCCCTGTTTGGTGCAGCAGGTGGAGTCCCAAGAGGGGGTAGCTGAGACAGCAGGGCAATCTGGCTGGTGGGGAGTACTTGTTCCATAGCACAGATGTGGTTCCACCCATTTGACCCTCGAGTACCTTGAATACTCTAGTTCACACCCTTCCACCAAAGGAGGATCTCGTCTTTCACCAAACCCCTGGTAGGCCTGGGAATGACTCTTCTCTGGCAATTTTTCCCCTGTGAATCTGATGCTACTGCTCTTGCCTCCCTCTTTGCCCAGGTTACCCTCAAACTTTTTCTCAGGTCTGAAAGTTTAATTGAATCTGTCACTTCCAAGCTCCTCTCAGGCCAGCTACCCTTCATTTAGTGCCAAGATAAATCATTGGCCACAGGTGTGTGCTGCTCCTGCTCCTGGGGGGGCTGCACCTGAGGCAGGTTGGGGTCTGTGGCCTGGGCTATATATCCAGCCCCATGGCACCTGCTGGGTGCTCTGTTGGAGGCCGAGATGAGCTCAGAACCGAGGAAGAAGCGTGATCATGTTTCCACCTCTGGGAACAGAGTATCTAAGAGGACATCTAAGAGAAAGGAAACCTTTTCAGTCTATATTTACAAAGTACTGAAGCAGGTGAGTAAATGTTTCTTTTCTGCTAGAAGCTGCTTCATCCGTGAAGTTACTTCTACAAATTGCACGTTAACACTATAAAAGGAAGGAAGGAAAGAAATCTGCTTTTTAGTGAGATGAAAAAAAAGGTGAGTGGGTACAGGAGAGCCCCAGTTGAGGCTCAGAAGCTGGGGGGGAACAGATTCTGGGGGTGGGAGACAATAGATGGATCTGGAGCAGAAAGGGTTTCCTAGAGAGAGCAAGTGCTGCTGCATGGCTCTGCTTGAAGAAGTAATTGAATAGAAGTAAAGAGGGCAGGAACAGCTCCTGCTGGGCTTGTGAGTAGGTGTTAAAATCTCTGGTGAGATGAGAAAAAGTAATTTTGGAGTTGGCCATGCACTGTCTAGGCCACAGTCATCAGCATGAGCCTGTAGCAGGTTCTGGAAACTGGGGGATTTTCATCCCTCGGAGTCTTGTTTTCCACAGGGATTATGGGGGGGCTCCCATTGTGCAATCCCAAAGCTGCTGTGGCATTATGGGAGCCTCTCTTCAGCCTAATGCAAGTGGCCCACGACTCGAGACCCTCAGGGTGGCAGCTGTGGGTCCCTTTGGTGTCAGAGTGCCCTGTCTGGGATGGGAAGGGGGGCCCTGCTTCTCTGGGGTGGCCGTGTCCCTGCTCCCCCCAGGGTGACGGGGGTGTGAGACGGTGTTCGGTTACCCCCCGGCAGGTGCACCCGGACCTCACCATCTCCTCCAAGGCCATGAGCATCATGAACTCCTTCATCAACGACATGTTCGAGCGTTTGGCCTCGGAGGCCTCGCGCCTGGCCCAGTACAGCCACCGCTCCACCATCAGCAGCCGCGAGGTGCAGACGGCGGCGCGGCTCCTGCTGCCCGGAGAACTGGCCAAGCACGCAGTGTCCGAGGGCACCAAGGCCGTCACCAAATACACCAGCAGCAAGTGACCACCCGGCCCCACTGAAACCAGCCCGGGCCCCGCTTCTCGGGGAGTCTTGCAGGAGCTGGTATCCAGTCTTGCTCAACTGAGAAAGCAAAGCCTCCTGTTGGCTGCCTGCAAATAAAAAAAGCATAGAAATACACATTGTGTCTTTAATTTTGGTGTTGCAAAGTGTGAGGCAGTTTGAACTGTGGGAGGGGGGTTGTTTGGTAGGGCTGGAAGAACAGCTGCTGTTTGGAAACAACCACACACAAGTAGGAGCAGGGACCACAGGGCATGCCCGAGGAGAGCTAGGGTTGTTCTGGGAAGCAGAGTGAGCTCTCCACAGTTCTCCAAACTCTTTATCCTGGTTTTCAGATTCCTGACTGCTAAAAGCTTCTGTTGTCTTCGGCTTTCTTGTGGTTCTTCAAGTGCTTCCTTACTTGGTGGGTGTCTTTCCCCAGGTCATCAGTTGATACTGGTCAGAGCAGAAGCTGAATCCCTCTGGGTGAGTGGAGTGTAGTCAGCAGTGGTGAGGGGGTTTCTCATGTTTGTAAACTATTTTCAAAGGCAAAGGGGTTTTTTTCTGGTGGGTTTTTCCTTGGGTTTTTGTTTTGGTTTTGTTTGTTGTTGTTTGGGTTTCTGTTGTTTGGGTTTTTTCCTCCTGGTGAAGGTTTTCTCCCTTTTGGGTAGGGGAGGCAAACAAAGCCAAATGAACTGGGACTGACAGGAGAAACAAACAGTATCTTCTTTCTAGGACTTGTAGCCTTTGCCTCCCACTTGCCTTGAAGAGAACTTTGTCTTGCAGGGCTCTGAACTGGGCTAGGGCTGAGTGTCCTGTGTTCTGTCTTGGATTATCATGTCAATAACTGGCCCTGGCTGCCTTTCCTTGTATTCCCAGGTGCTTCCTATAGGAATAGGAATTCCTATAGGAATGATCCAGGGCCCTGCAGGTTCTCTGTCCACATGGAGCTTGGGAAGCCCTCAGGGAGAAGTGTTGTGTCCAGAGTGATGGTGCAGGCGATGACCTCCAGAGCTGTGGTGGGGCAGCCTGGCTGCCCTGTGAGCACAGCACCTTCTTGGGGTGTGCAGGGCTGTCCTGGGTTCCTGCACAGAGGAGCTACCTCAGTGTCTGCAGTGGAAAGGAAAGGCATGGGGTGTATTCTGGGTGGAGTTGTGTTGGAGATCATGGAGTAGTCTGGGTTGGAAGAGACCAAAGTCCATCCAGTTCCACCCCCGTGCCTTGGGCAGGGTCACCTTCCACTGTGCCTGTCCAGCCTGGTCTTGAACACTTGGGGCATCTGTAACTTCTCTGGGCAGCCTGTTCCAGTGCCTCTTCCCAGCTTCACATTGGACTGGATGTCTGGCTCTAACATCTTCGGTTCACAGCCAACAACAGGGTAGGAGTAACCAGGAGGAACCAGAGCTGTGTTTAGTCCAAGGTGACAGTATGTGGGACAATCCTGGATTTCACAAACTTGTGAGGTGATGCTGAGTCTCACGAGCTATGGAGCTGTGACGGGTACTGATCTGCCTGGCTTGGCAGTGTGGGCCAGACAAGATGTCCATGATGCTCCTCAGGAGAGTATAGGAGGCAGCAGGGCTGGGGCTGAGCATCCTCCTGTCAGACCTAGCCCTGCTGCTGTGGACTGTGGCTGGCTGGGGGAGGGAGGGAAGGGGCTGCACTGGGTGCTCTGTTTCCTTTTGGCTGTAGGACAGCATTGAAGAGTGCTCCCTTCACCCTGCCAGGCCTGTGAGCTGGATCTGAGCACAGGGGTGGAGCAGCACTTTGCCCAACGAGACTGCACTTCTTTTCCTTCCTGTGAGCCTTGTGGTGGCTGTGCTGTGGGGACAGGCTGTGTGGCTGGTGCTGGTGGCAGAGCTGCTGTGGCGGGGCTGCCCCTGGGCTGGGTTTTTGGGGCCCCTGGGCTGGGTTTTTGGGGCCCCTGGGCTGGGTTTTTGGGGCCCCTGGGCTGGGTTTTTGGGGTTGCTCGGCTGGATGCAGCAATCGGAGACAGGTCTGGCAGAGCTCAGCCTGAGAGTGGGATGCTGAGCGAGCTCCACTTGCATCTGACAGGTGAGCAGCCCATCTCCTCGCCCAGCCTATTGCTCCCTAGGCCATGTGTCTGTGCTTGCTCCCCTTTCCAGCCTCTCTCCCGTTTCCCCAGCAGTGGGATGTGCAGCTGTGCTGTCTGTGAGACGAGGAATGCTGAGGAGCAGCCTGGAGCTGCAGTTCTGCTCCTGACCTGGAGATGGGTCTGTCTGACTACCTGATCTCAGATCCATTCCTGCAGCATGGGAAGGATCCCCGTGCTGCTCTGCTTGGAGCAGGCTGCCTGTGGACTGTGCAACTTCCCTCCCTGGTACCCTGGCTCTCTCGGCAGATACCCACGCAACCAGCCAGGAAAGGTGCCGATTTGTGGCGAGATGAGCGGCTGTTCCCTGGAGGTGTCTGGTGGAGCATTAGCACCGAGTGAGCCCCAGAGGTGTAAGGCTTTAATGGTGCAAGTGCTTGATTCTCCAACACTTAAATTTGTGCATCCTACTTCATGTGATACCTGCCCCCTATCCCATCACCGAAGGCTTGAAGAATGGAGTTGGTGAATGGCTTCACATTCCTCTTACTAGATCCCTGCATTTCCCTGCAGATGGGGACAGGTAGTGCAGATGAACCAAGACTGAGAGGCGGAAGGAGGAAGTTGCTCTTGGAATGGGTGAGTTCTGCACTCAACTTGCCCAGATTGTCCCTTTCACACTTTCCATGTGGAGGTGGGTTCATCTCTAAGTATGCAGGGATCCTGCTGCTTGTTTCCCCACAGTATATTCCCATGGAGCTGCTCTGGGATACCTGCACAGGATGTCATACATGGTCTTCCTGAGGGATCGCTCTGTGCTGGCACAGATCAGCTTTGGTGAGGACTGTTCCTCAGCTCAGCTGTTTCCAGACTGGAGCTGTGGCTCCATGCCCTTGTCCTAGTGGATCCAGTGAGATCTGGATGAAGTTGTTTTGGGAGGAGGGGGTAGACTCTGCCATCCAGCAGGGATTCACAGGATGCTGGTTGCTGTGAGAGTGACCCAGAAGCACTCAAGCTGCAATAAAAGCAAAGCTTAACTCGGAGCCTGTGCAGGTTCTTTTCCAAAGTATCCTGTGGCTGCCTTGCTCCATGTGAGTCTCTGTCCAGATCTGCCTGTGTCCTCACAAGTCCCCAGAGAGGCTTTTTTAGTGCTGTAACACTGCAGTGCTGTCATGTTGCATGTCCCTGGCCCCCTGTCTGTGTTTTTAATGAGCTATGCACGTCTATGGGTTAGAAGAAGCCTTTTTTTTTGCCTTGGTCCGTTCTTCAACCTCTCAAAAAGAGTACTAGAGTGTGACAAACTGAATGACTGTTCATAAAAATATCATCAATGCCTGTGTTCTGTTTTCCGTTCTGTAAGAGAGCAATGGCTTAAGAGCATGTGCTCTTCCTCTCACATGGTGGAGGATCATGAGGCAGAGCATCCCTCTGGTGTGTTATGAGTGAAACAGGTTTGAGGGGAGGGAGCTTCTTGGGCAGGGGAGGCTGGCAGCAGCCCGCAGACCTGCGTGTATTCCTTTGCCCATGTTGTGTCCCTTGGCAACGATGCTGCCAGGTGGCTGCTCCGGTGCATCATTAGACACTGTTCCAAACAGCAGAGGCCAGAACGGTTCAGCACTCGGAGGAAAATGAGCCAGTGATGGATAGCTCTAGTGATGCCAAAGCTGTTAAAATATGAACTTCTGATGTACAGCCAGAGTTCCAGCAAGGGACTCTCATCCTCTCTGTGCTTAACTGCTGGTGTGTGGGGACAGTGCTGGTCTGTGGCCCTTCCCTTCTCTGTTTAGTCGGAGGTAGGGTGTTGTCCCTGAGTAATGGCAGCTCGTGGTGGCCTGGGATCCCTGCCTGGAGGAAGGGAGATGAGTGATGATCAAAGGTCAGGCAGGCACTCCCCTGTGAGTACACACACTGCGGCGTGAGGTTGTCGTCCCTGGTGCTGCCTGTACTGTAATGGGATTGAGGGTCCGTGGCATCCTTGGAGTTGTGTCTCCATTTATGTTCTCCCCAGCGAGGATTGCTGCAAATAGTTTGTTTCTTTGTTTTTTCTCTCTTTGTGCTCTGTTTTTTCTGGAGTCTAGGATGTAGCCAACAATAACGCTGCTTCCTTCATCTCCCCTGCTTGGGAATGTGTTGGAGGTGAGGGAGGTGCTCAGAAGTTAATTATCGTGGCTAGGCTTCGTGAACGAAGAAGTTAATTAAGTGAGAAAGTAAATCTTATGTTGTAACTGTGGCTTCCAGGGCCATATAACCTGGGTCAGGAGGCATCCCTGTTCTCATGTCCTCTTTGTGCAGCCCTGGATTACCTGCTGCTGAACTGGGGGAAACTGAAAGACCTGCAGTGGGGTGAGGTGCTCCCTGATGTGGAGCTGCAGCCAGGAGAGCCCCAGGGGCTGACTCGTGGTGCCCCTCGGGCCAGGCTGAGTGCTCCTCTGGGGTCAGAGACAGCGGGATGGGCTCAGAGGATGTGTTCTCACATAAGCAATCTGTGTTGAGCTGGTCCCATGGTTGGTACTAGTGGTGTGTTGCTTGGCCTCCAACGAGGAGAACACTTCCCTTTGGCCCCACGCAGGCTGTGGGGCTGGAGAAGAGGGTGACATGGGCAGAGTGGCCCCATGAGGAATGGCTGCTGCAGGCCACACGCCGTTTTCCCATTAGTGAGTGTTTAGTTCAGCGTTTTAAATAATTGTGTCCTCGGAATGATATTTAAAATCCATTTGGGAGGCAATGAGGCGGGAAAGTGCCTGTGCCATTGTGATGACGCTGCGCAGGCCGCGCCACACATGCATATTACAAACTCGTTACAGGCTCGTTTACACGCACGCTGCTCCCTCCCCACACTGCCGAGGCTCCGAGTGCTGCTCCCCCACCACCACTGCTGGGCTGGGCTTTGTGGGGATGTTTGTTTGACAAGGTAGGCCTGGTGTCCTCTGCAGCAGGAGAAGGGGCACAGCTGGGGTGCGGCAGCTGGGTGCTGCCCTTTGGGACAGGGATGTGTGGGGCACACCTGGTGATGGGACTGTCACCCAGGTGTCCTGTCCTTCCCCTGTGCTCCATGCAGAACTGTGTCACTGCAGACTCCAGACCGTGCAGCCCCAAGGCTTTCAGCTGCTGTGCTCTGGGTACCACTGGAAGAGCTGCAGCCCCTGTCCCAGGCTGGCTCTGAGGCTGAGGACCAGCCTGGGCTCTTGAATGTCTGTGGAAGCTGCATGAACTGCAGGGACTAGGTGTGAGGGAGCAGCAGCTTCAGCAATGGTCCTGTGAGTGCTGGTTTGTGGCTGGATGGAAGAGGGTGACCCCTCTATCTCTGTTCCTCTCTTGCTGCTGTGTGGGCATGCTCTGCTGTCCTCCCAAGCCATGCAAAGTAGAAATCCTGTGTGGCAAGACAAGGCTCCTGGCACTGCTTTATCCTTGTCCTGGTGGCCTTGGTGGTATGAGCAGTATTCAGTCTTCTCCCTTTGTCTTCTCCCTCCTGATCATGTTCAGCTGCTTCCAGCCAGGGTCCTAGCTGTGGTTTGTCTTGTCACTGCCTTGTGACCAAGCATTAGTGGGGTGAAGATCCAAGCCCCCAGGTACTTAAGGATATGTTGTGTTCTGACACCTATTCCTCTTGCACAGTGGCCTGGCTGGCTGCTTTTGGGATAGGCAATGGAAGGCTCTGGCATCCTTGTCTCTGCCTGAGGGCCCTCAGCATCCTCATTGTCCCTGTAGACTTTCCTACTTGGCACCTATGTGGGTGTTTGGCCTGGAGATGCTGAAGGGCAATAGGAAGGCTTTAGTCATTTCCAGGATTTGAGGGCAGAGCTGCTCGTTGCTGTTTCTTCCTGGATAAAGCTCAGCTTATCACTGCTCTGTGCAGCTTGTGTCCCTGTGCAGGTGGGAGTTAGGCTGGGAGTGACTGACAGGTGCTGTGGCCTTTGGGGACAGTGCTCCTGGCACAGGGGGATGTTAGAGGTGAGCCAGGAGCTCGCTGTGCTGAGGTCACCTTTTCTCCAGGTTGATGGTGAGCTGTGGAGAGAGGAGCCACAGATACTCAGAGTGGCAATGGAAGACAAGAAGCCACACAAAGAAGGCAGTAAGGTCAGGAAAAGAGCCCAGTGTTTCAGGTGCCACAGGTGGGAATGTAAGGCTTTCTCAAGTAATGGAGAAAGGCTGTGGGTGAAGTTGGGTCTGGCTCACCTGGAACTGACTGTTTGGGAAAGCCTCTGCTGGTGGTCCCCATTCAGGCCCTTGTACTCTGGCTTTGGTTAAGGCCTCTGCCACTGCAGCTAGCAAGGTTGCTGCAGTAATCTGTGTTGGGAATGGAGAAAGTGAATTTTGTAAGAATCTGGGAAGGAGGTGAGAGAGAGGTGGACTGTCAGCTTGTATATTCCAACATCCCCTCTGGCTGGGGTAGAAACCCATTATTTCCAATAATGCAATTCACAATCCCTGCCGTGTGCTGTCCTGGCCAGGGCCCCTTCCAGGAGCTGCTGCCTTGCTGGAGTCAGAAGTGAGCGAGCCCGAAAAGCTTTCAGAACGGCTTTTTTTTTTTTTTGTCACAGCAATTTGGTCCTGAGCAGCAGAGAGGATGTAACTGAGGGTGGCTGCCACTCCAACCCATGTGCTGCTGTGCAAGAGCAGACCTGAGAAATGTTTGAAGACCTTTCCCTACCCACAAGAGGGTCTCTAGCCTGGCCCCCAGGTTTCATAGCTCTGCTTGTCCATGAGCTCAGTGAAGTTCTGAGGATCAGACACAGTCTAATCATTCTTTCCTTGGAGCCTGGTCTGAAGCTCTGTGAGATCTCTCTGCTGCCTTTGCTTACAGGAGGGACTCTGTGCTCCTCCAAAGCACAGCAGCTGCCACAGCTACTGCATTCACCTTTTGCAGATCAGCAGGGTCTGGCTGCTAGTCCCCCTTCTTGCTCAGGGTACAAGCTCTTTGGGATAGCTCATTTTATCTGCTCTATTGTAGAGGTGTGTGCTTTGCTTTTGGCTTCACTGCAGCAGGTTTAACAGTGAAGCAAAACCAGGGTTTGTTAATGCTTAAGGTAGATAATGAAGATCTCATAGTTCAACTATGCAGTTCTACTGCACAGTGTGGGCTCCAGTGGCCCTCTCTGTGCCATCAGGGCCTTCTAAAGGTGCCAGTATTTAGTACATCATGTTAGTGTGTATGACCAGCCAGTATCTGCATAAAATCATGGTTCCCTGGGTAGTCTCTGATCTGGCAGGGCCATGTGTGACATCTTTAGGCTTGTAGTTTACATAGGTGACCTTACCAGTAACTAGATACTCTCCCTAAGTCTGTCTTCCGTGGGCAGACGTGCTTTGTCCTGCCTCTCACTGTGTGTAAATGGACACTCCTGTATGGGGGAAGCATGACAGCTCTGTTCCAGTGGTGGCAGCAGCAGGAGGTGGAAAGGTAGTTTGGAGAGGAACTAAGAGTTCTCCTTAGTTTCTCTTTTTCCCCATCTCTAAGAGAATCCAGGCTTCCTGTACTCCAAGTCCCCCAAGTTAGGGCTGTTGCATCGAGCCCCTCACCTGGCCAGAGGACACTGGCTATTTGTTGTGCCCTCTTTTCTCCTTTCACCACGGTGTCCTCTCACGGGCTCTCTGCCTTGTTCAGAGACCTGGCAGTCTTTGAACAGGCAGGTTCAGAGACTTGCTTCTGTCTTCTGTGCTGTGACCCTCCTTTGCAGCCTCCTTTACCCCTTGCACGTTTGCCTTCTCTGCAGGACTGGTAACCGAAGACAGCCCCGGATAAAGAGTGGCTCCAGGCAGTGCAAGAGACAGCAGAAGTGAAGGAGGCACGAGGGAAACACAAGAAAGGAAACAAAAAATCAAGGTAACAAATAGCTCTTAGCTTTGTACTTTGCTGTCTCGGGACAGGACAGCTGTTTCTGGTTTTGGCATTGTGGGTGCAGATGGGGACCAGACCACTGTGTGGGGAGAGGGTTTAGGATTGGTGTGTAGACAGAAGAAAAAAGGGCCCTGGGCATGTGTGTGCAAATATACTTGTCATGGGTTCTGTGGGGTGCTGAGCAAGCTGAAGTGAGTGTGAGTGAGGCTGGGAAGGTCTCTCTGGGTGTGTCTGGGCTGTGGGTGTGTCTGGAGGGAGAGACAGAACTCGTGTGAAAATGCTTATAGTGGCATCTACTGCCATTCCTAGTGCCTACATCAGTCTGGGAGCTCTTGGACCTGTTTGCTTTGGTTTTGCTCTAGAAACAGGGCAGAAAGGACCCACTGAGGGCCCCTGCCTGACTCCTGGGCAGGTCCTGCAGCAAAGGAGGGGGTGAGGCAGGACCTCACTGCCCCAGGGAAGGGACTGGTTCTCAGAGCAGTATGTGGGACTTGTGAGGGTCTTTTTGTCCCTGTGGAATTGTTTCAGGGAAGGGCTCTGTCCTCAGTCCCTTATGACTTCTGACACTGTGTCTGCTCTAGATCTTTCCCAAGCTCTGTGGTTGTCCCCCCTCATCTGTTCCATTCTTGTGGTAGCACAGAGCGGAGCAGGGACTTGGCAGAGCAAACGAGCACATAGACAGTGATTCCAGGCTGCCTGCTACCTAATCTGTGCCTACTCTGTGCTGGTGATTGCACCCAGCAGCTGAAAATAAGGGAGGTGGTGACGAGGAGCTGCCAAGCTGGACTATTTATACTGGGTGAGTCAGGCCCATGCCTGAATCCAGCCGGACGCTGGGGAGCTGGAACCCAGGGGCAACCTGCAAAGGTCAAACCCTGGGACAAAGGCTCTTTCCTGCAGCAGCTTGTTTACTGTGTGGCTCAGAGCTGTCCAGTTTGTTCCCCGTGATGGACTGCACCTTCCCCCTCAGCTCTGCCACACAGCACTTGCTGCAGCCAGATCACTGGAAGAATCCTCCCCGTGCAAGGTCCCGGTGCCACCGCAGTGAGCACAGCCCGAGCCCCCGTGGCCAGGGCTGCCAGCACAGCCCGAGC